ATAGGCCTGGCATCTGCCCTTGTTCTGATTTAATAAATTCTAAATAATAAAACCTTGTGTATCATGAGATGGAGTGTATTTTTTGTCACTTTCGAATATTGGAGATCTTGGCAATACCTTCCTAGACAAAGAATTCCCATTCCATGAACATATAAGATTTTTGACAGTAACCAGAACAGTCATTCTTTTGTGGGATGAACAATAAATACAGTACGGTTATATTACGACTGCAGTCTTCCTCAATTACGTTGTTATTGAGATCAATCAAATATTAGATTGAAGACGCTAAGGTCCTGTACTTTCATTACATGTTTCGAATTTAGTTTGGAATCAATTATCTCTTTTGATCCCATAAAATCTTTCATCAATTGTAGTTTTATTCGAAAACTTTCGAATAATTGTCGTAATTTGTTCATCATGTATGTACAGAGACAAAAACAGGAGTGAGGTGTTTTCGTCACCATTTGAAGTGAACCCATTATAACTGGAAATAGGTTCCACCAAATTGAAGCTGTTCTTTTTCTCACACGTCCATTGTTTATTCACATCGATATTCCATTTATTGGAGAAATTACAGGGATTTGGACATAAGGTGGATACCTATTGATCCGGATTTCACCCACGTCAACACTTGAGTTGGACAGGAAAACGTTTCGATTTTTAGGAAATCTTTGCTTCGCATAAAATATTATTCACATTTTCACCCACCAGGTCATTGTGTGAGGAATCATATACGTATTAATAATCAATACGGATAATAATCTGTTTTCATAGCGAAACATGAAGCCGATTTTTGAAGACAAATGACTATCCATAAGGAAAAGTTTTGAAACGATCAGACACATACTGCTTTGATTGAAAGGCTAGTAAACGTCATTGTCCACCGAAACGGATGTCTTTGATGACTACTATAATAGCGCATGGCGCATGCGTATCATGCCACCAAATCCTTATGCATGGATATTCCTTTTTTTCCATATTTTTGGCTTCATCCTGGTTTCATATTTTTGGCTTCATCCTGACACCCGTTATGATCCGTATTGTTTATTAATACGTATATGTGAGGAATCCAAATAAATTTTCAACGTAAATGAAAAGAAATATTCTTTCTTCGAATCCTTTCGTATATACGTATAACAATAAATTAACGAATGAATATAAAGCCATTAAAAAAACGGATAATAATTAATGTTTCAAAAACGCGAGTAAACTCCACACAGCGGAATATTTTTATAAACTATTGATTTTCATCATTTCACATCTTATGGAATCGATCCAATGAATCGTACATAACTGATTTGGAAGATTAACCTTCATGATACACCAGAGGAAAATAGATGAAAATGTTAAACATTAATTTCATGTAGGTATATATTCATATATAGATGTCTATGAATCACACTTCCACAGAAATTTGGGTAAAGTGTCACTCCGACCCAATTTGAAGTTATCCATCAACACAAGACTCTCTCCTGAGCATGTGTGAGCAAAATAGCTTTCACCATATATTGTTTTCATTATTCCAGATTTTTTGGGATTTCCTCTCCTCGTTTCTATGAAATAAAAATATGAATATTATTTTTAAATACGTGTAGTAAGGACAAATCAGATGATTTTCCGCAGAATTCCACTGCTTCTAAAGGATTTTCCTATCAGGGAGCCTGAAAGGAAAATTCACTAGCTTGTCAGTGACAAAGTATTGAAAACAGTTCGGAGAAGAGAAATGAAGGTATATAGAAGTGACAATTATCACTGAGAACTGAGAAGTGTCAGGAGAAATACGAATTTGCGATACAAAGAAAACCATTTTTTCATGTTGAAAACGGGAGCAGATTCGTTCCCATAACGCCCAAAGGTAAGTAAAAATTTGATATGTTTTCTATATACCTACCTTTATTTCCCTTCACTGAACTTCTTTCAATACAAATTGTCACTGACAAGCTAGTGAATTTTCCTTTTAGGCTTTTTGATAGGAAAATTCTTCAAACGCAGTGACATTTTGGGGCCAATCAACTGATTTGTCCTCACTACACGTATATTGAAATTATATTCAAGTTTTCATTCCATAGAAACGAGGAGAGAAAATCCCAATAAATCTGGAATGATTACCACCTCCTCGATTAACCTACAGACAGTATATTTTTTTTTGTTGAAAAATCTTGACTAAAAAAGAGGCATCAACTTTTCAACATAAAATTGCGAATATCATATTGGCAAAACCCCCAAAAAAAACTCTCAAAATCAGACATTCACAAAAATATGTTTACAGATTGAAATTATATATATATATATATATATATTAATATAAATACTGTCTGTAGGAAATACTGTCTGTAGGTTAATCGTCGAGGTGGTACATTCATTTTACTTGGTTCTTTGGGATTTTCTCTCCTCGTTTCTATAAAATAAAAGTATTCGTATTATTTCAATATATTTGTAGAGGGACAAATCAGATGATTTGCCCCAAAATGTCACTGCGTTTAACAAATTTTTCTATCAGGGAGTCTAAAAGAAAAATCCAGTAGCTTGTCAGTGACAATTTGTTTGAAAAAAATTTTGAGGAAAGAAATATAGATATATTGAAAAAATATCGAATTTGTACTTATCTTTGGACGTTTCGGGACCGATTCTGCTCCCGTTCTCAACATGTAAATGCAAATTATTTATTATTTACACGAAGATGATTCGACACATATTTTCATTTGTGTGAATGATTCTTATAATAAAGAAAAGACTAGGAAAAAATTGATTCAAACACTGAAAAGTGTCAAACTATACGCAGCACAACTTTCAAAGAAAAAGCTACTGGATTTTTCATTTAGACTCCCTGATAGAAAAATTTGTTAAACGCAGTGACATTTTGGGGCAAATCATCTGATTTGTCCCTCTACAAATATATTGAAATAATACGAATACTTTTATTTTATAGAAACGAGGAGAGAAAATCCCAAAGAACCAAGTAAAATGAATATATTTATATATTATTTAGGATATTAATGTTCTAAAATATCTCATTAAATACGCGAGTCATTGAGAAAAAAAAAACAGTTTTTAATTTCCAACTTTGACACCCTGTATATCGAATATTAAGTGCTAAAATGAAAATTGGTATTTGGAAACTAATATTGTTTTTGTTCAAGGAATATATGGTGAATGGATTGACCTCCTTTCAGCGGACAGCCTATATAATAATTAGAAAGCCTTTGGAAAAAACGGCGATCCTGCAACATTCAATATCTGTTATCTGAATTTAGAAATGTTACCTGAAACGTTGAGCAACAAGATTAGAAACCAAGATTAAAAGACTAAATTTCACCTTGAAGATGTTGTGACTTGAAATGAAAAACTAAAATATTGCAGTAATATTATATATTACGAGCTCTGACGATACAGGGTGTTTCTAAATATCCTGTACACACTGAAGGAAGTTATTCTTGGCTCATCTTGAGATGGAAAGTTTGTTCAACATTACGTCAAAAATTGCTTCGTTTGAGAGATACAGGCCGTGAAAATTGAAAATATGCATAGATTTGTCTTTTGTCCAGCCTGTGAAGCTTTTCATGATCGTAGAATTCAGTTTGTCATGTTACTGAAATAATGCAAAAATATCAGGATATTACATAATGATGGACATCTAACAATTTGAATGGATTGCTTGAATGTAATACTCATTAGCAATTATATAAAAATATTTCTAATTATGTTTCAACAATGGGTAATTTTTGGACTGAATTTAATGAACTTGCACTGAAAATCCGATAGGCCAATAATACGTCCCTAGGGTCTCACTCATTCATTGAAATACTTTGGATTGTTGCCTAGTAATTGAATGAAACGTATTATTTTTTATCAACTTCAATGAGGAATTATGAACGAAGCCACTATAATGCATATTTACAAATTAATGTCATCAAAAGTTCATGATGTGTTTTCCACGTATATGCAATCTTGTGGCTGTGGAACTTTGTCGTCATTATATGGTTTTTCAGATGTCATTTCAGGACGCCCACTCGACGTCAATCTGTTACCTGGTTGGTTGCATTGAATTGGTGACGTTGGATGTCACGATACACTTTCTGTTTTTCCGCGTTCTCCGTCTGAAATTCACTGAGCCCTGAGAAGATATCGGTTTTGGCTACCAAACCAATTTGGGTTGGTTATTTTGAAAAATAAAATGGAAGTGTTCTTTGAAACAAGCCGATTTTCAGTAAATTGAAGCTGAAACTGAAATTCCCACTAAAATGTGCTAGTAATAGTTATGAAATCGAACGAATGAATATTGATATACACTTATAGACCAGGCCCATAAGCACGAAATCCATCTCTATAAAGTGCAAGAAGCATTTCATGTAACAATTGAGGAAACAACGTTATTAAGTTATTTCGACCCCGCTGAATACGAATCTGCCTGTTGCCAAAGCGAAATTTGGACCGGAAGTCCGGTATCCAAGATGGCGGCCGAGATGGTGGTCAAAACACTGTTGCCCCATATCTTCATTTTCGGTTGGCTCAAAATATTGATTTAAACGCCGGCTTAGTGGTTTTCTCGGATGCTTATCATATTGAAATGCTCAGAAATTACTTACCCTGAGCCTGGAGTGCGTGGGTTCCAAAATGGCGACCAAGATGGTCGCCGAAACTTTATTGTTTACGTATTCTTGTATTTGGAGTGCAATATCTGTCAGATATACAGTTTTTAGTGGTTGAATATATACTTAGTACGTAGACTATTACTGTATTTGTTACATATTATGGCTTGAAAACTCCTTGATAGATAGAGAAATGGAGGGCAGATCCTCTAGTACTTGTGCATCTCGGAGGACCCAGTTGGGATGCCTAAGTAGTAAGGAATGCACAAATCTGCCCTCCATATCTCTATCAAAAAAGGAATTTTCAAGCAATACAAAGAAAAAGAGATAACTCTGATGAAGATGCACTCCTCAAGGTTATGCAGTCATTCCATTTGATGGACCCTATGGCTCCTAGCTCAAGTGTCTGCAATGTCGCTCCTTGAAGCGAAGAAGCGCGGATCAGATCTGGTTATCAACTTTGTAAATCAGCGCCTTATTGTTCAAGAGTCGTCTGAAGAAGCTGTCAAAAGTTTTTATGCTAAAATACCAAAAAACTCTGCTTTAACTCTCTCAGACCTCTTCGAAGTTGAGGATACTAATGATCGGAAAAAGGTTGTAGAGGCTGACAGGGATGTTTTACGTCGTATAATTGTAGCTTTCGAAGCAGGCAGAGAAATTGACTTGCCCTCCATTTTGAAGCACGAGCTTCTTCCAGTACCTTAATCGATAGCGGAAATGGATGGCACCCTCAGATCGTCTGAAAAAGCATCGATGATAAAACTCGTTGCTGAAGGCGTGGAATGCCCAAACTCCATTAACATTGATCGGAACACTTCGCAACTGATTATAGACGGTCAAGCTTTAGTAAACAGCATAGGGAAACCAGCAACTGCCACTACTTTCGGAGACCTCGCTGCAATATTGAATATTCATTGATCTTGGAAGACCGTATGCCAGAGTCGACATCCTTTTTGACTGGTATCGTACCAAGTCAATCAACAGTGGGACCCGCTGCAGACGGACCAGGGGAGCTGCTCCAGTCAGAAGGGACATCACAAGTGCAGCCATTCCACTGCCAAAAAATTTTAAGAATTTTCTAGCACTGGGGGACAACAAGGCCGACCTAGCCGGCTTTCTCTCTCAGGAAGGTCTCCAACATGTCTTTAATGACATCGAAGTTTTTGTCTCCGGAGGACTCATACATGAAGAGGATGTGCGATCAACCAACCCCGAATCCGACGTCAGTTCCCTAGCAGCGACACATGAAGAGGCCGATACACGCGTTGTACTACATGCTTTCCACTCTGATGCTGACAACATCGTCACCATGGCCAGGGATACCGACATTTGTTTGCTGTTGATCCATCACTTTGACAAAATGACCAGTTCTAAAGTGTGGATGATGAGTGGCACAGCGGAAGAAAAGAAGTATCTCCCAATACATGAGATCTGCCAACTTTTAGACAACCTAGGGCACTCTCCGCTAACTCCCTCATCAAAGGCGAATGCAGAGAAGTTTCTCGTTCAGCTCTATAAGGTCGATAAAGTTTCTTCAGGTGTTTCAGCAAGTCCAAATATCAATTATAACGTTTCTATTTCTCTGAACAGGTGACTAAAGATGTATCTAGCGGGGATGAAGCCAGATATCAACTTTTTGGTGTTGTGAAAAAGCCAGAAGCCTTACCTCCATCAAGCGGCTACACCTCCTAAGATGCCATTACCAGGTAAAGAAATGATGGGGAGCATACTGTGATCAGTATAACCAGTTGCTTTTCGGTAATTATAATGAATAACATTTCAGGTGAACGTGTGGGAAAATGCTCGTCATGCCCGACCGGAGGTGATGGATCCTGAGTCATATGGGTGGAGGCTTCACCAAGACGGGTACATTCCCATCCTTATGACACTTGAGCTCGTTCCCGAAGCTTGCACGGATATTTTAAACTGTAATTGTTTGTCCCACTGCCTGACAACAATGTGCACGTGCAAGATGAATGGACTGACTTCACCAAGTTGTGCCACCGCTCTCACCAATGTCTCAACTCTTCAAATGATTGATTAATCATCATTTTTGTGTTATTGCCATCAGCTACCGAACTATTTTTTTATTATCTTTCCACAATCCTGCAATAAACAGTGTTTGACCTCTGGAATGGTCGTTTCCTTCACTTCCTTCGGCAGCCATCTTGAAGCCCATGCACTCATAACTTGAGGTAAGTAAATTTCAAGCACTGCAGAGTACCAAGCATCTGGGAAAACCCCTAAGCAGATGTTTGAACCATTATTACAAGCCAACGGATATGGGAGACATGGGGCAACAGAGTTTTGACCAGCATCTCGGCCGCCATCTTGGATACCGGACTTCCGGTCCAAATTTCGCTTTGGCAACAGGCAGATTCGTATCCATCCAGCGGGGTCGAAATACCTCAAAAACGTTGTTTTCCCAATTGTTACATGAAATGCTTCTTGCATTGTTAATTTTTGAAAAAGTGCCTAGACTATTATATTTCATCAATTATATTATATCCCCACAAAATTCGCAACAGCACATTTTTCCATTCACTCAGTAGCTTGTTCAGGTGATGAACTCGAACAAGGAATTCAATCAATAGGATGGAATCCAAATCCTAATGATAGCTCTGACAAACAAGAAATCAGGCTCAAGAAAAGCTTCTCAAACAGAATATTTCCACGGATTAGGTAGGTATATATCATACTAACGACAAATTCATTTCTGATCGATTTTTATGAATACAAGACTCTATAGGTATAACATAAGTACATAATATATAAGAACAGTTTGAACATTGATGATATAGGTTCGTTGTGTTTGAATGATTATAACAATGAATTCAATCCAAAACAAGTTGGTTGACTTAAATTTGTTCAATATTCAGCCAGACTCCTCCTTTGACAGTGGGAATCAGTGCAGAACTATAAGTTATTGGAAGCTTGGTCCTTTCGTTCAAGGTCACTCTAAAGTTATTGATAATTGACAATAATCCAACTTTAGCTTGCATTTTTCCAAATCGGGATCCTGAAAAATAATTGAATTAATGAATATAAAATGATGGCAGTCCAACAATAATTGTTTCCATACATAATATCACATGTTCTGAATATTCGAGATAATTCTGTCGATTCCTTGTTCACGGAATTGTGTTTCTGAGACAATGAGAGAAATGACTATGAGGAAATATTCGGAACAGAGTGGTATTATGCTAGACTATTTCACGTTCACGGAACATGAAAAACATTTATTATAAATGAGCTATTAATTCTGTCAACTACAACTATAATTATTTCATGCCAAACTGACAGACTTTGCTACGCTTACCATGGTTTCATCGGTAAAAAAACTAACGCTTACAGAATAAAATTCAAAGACAGCTATAGTGCTTTCGTATGTAATACAACAAGCAGTGTATTGATGATTATCGATATACATATGTTGCTTGGCAACCACACGAGCGCATAGCGGTCAAAATTGAATGAATTTGTATTTTGGTAATAATCAATTAAACGAGTTGTATTTGTTGAGATTATTTCACTCATTATTGCACGAATGAAACAATAATTGTATGTTATATCTCCATTTGCAGTCGGTTATGCTACTAGCTAGTAGTTAACACTCTGACTGCCATTTCAGTCATTTTTGACCGACAGCTTGATCTCGTATTGAGGCGTCTAAGGCATCTGGGGCATCTGGGGAATCTACATGATCAGCTTATTGCTGCTCAGACATTGTAAAGTCGTTCTGGTGTACAGAAGAGCATAAAAGGATGTCAGCTAAAATCGACCGACGCGACCTGACAAGGCAATTTTTTTCAATGTATATAAGTATAAGTGCATGATATACTCCTATAGGTTATCAATTCATCGATAAACTCACAGGGGTTGGAACATTCGCTATAACAGCAAAACGATGAAACACCGAAGCTAGAAAAATTGTTTAATTTGTTACAAAAATCTTGTGAAACATTATGTACAAGGAAAGGGGCTGAAAATGAGGTGGAGAGAGTGCGGACGCATTGAGAAGGCTGCGAAGAGATGCCTTCTATGTGCAATGTTTTTTTTTGAAATATTGTAATATTCAAGCAACATTTATTACAATACAATTCAACCAATGTACAAAAATCTCCAATCAGTGCTTCAAACACTGGCCTCGAGATTAACAACATTCAAAATAAATACAGTGTTACAAGGGCAGTTAAGTAATGTTTATATAAACTTTCAATTTCCTAACAAAACTCTTATAATTATTCAAGTCTTTTATAAACTGAGGTGAATCATTGAATGTTTTGATTGCATCTACGATCGGATTTCTTAAACCTACATTTGTCCTTGTATATATTTGGTAGATGTTATTATGTGATCTTGTTTGGTAATCATGTACATCAAAGCAAAACTCAATATCAATGTTACTCTTTTGTTGATCATTAAGTATTTTATTAACGAGTTTGCATTGTTCTATAACCAGAATTTCTTTTAATCGAATTAACTTCAATTCTGAATAAATTATATTCGTGCTAGTGAGCCAATCATACTTGAATGATATTTTGAGGGTTTTGTTTTGCAATTTCTGAACTTTATCGAAGTTAACTTCTCCACACATTCCCCACACAGGCATAAGATACCTGAAGTGTGTTAAGAAATAAGAATTATAAACTTGATTTTGGAAATGTGTGGAGACCAGTTCAAATTTTCATCCACAATCAATCCCAAATATTCCATACACATTACTTTCTCTAATGGTACACCATTTATGTTAGGTTGCAATTCGTAAATTTTTTTATTTTTCTGCTTGAATACAATATATTTGGTTTCATCGATATTAATTTTTAATTTATTTGAAAACAGCCATTTACGGTAAGCAATTAGATCCTTATTCACTTGAGTATTGAGGGAGATTTCATCCTGCGTACAGCAGAACCGAATCATCTGCAAAGGTGAAATACCTTTCCCTCAGATTGGCAAGTTTGAGGTTAAGTACATAGAGGGAGTACAACAGCGGACCAAGGACTGACCCCTGAGGTACTCCGTAAGCACTGGACATCCAATCACTACTTGTATGTCATGTGAAAACCCATTCCAACAATAATTAGATTCAGATATGTTCATGGGTGACAAGTGACAAAGCCTATAATAAAGAGGGAAAAACTGGGTTCCGGCAGCCAGAGTGTCAATTAGGAACTAGAGACAGGACGCACCAAATATTGTCGCGTGTCTCGTCTCTTCTGAAGCCGGAATCCGCAATCGTTCGTGATATTTGAGGCGTCCTGTCTCTAGACCTAGTGTCAAGTTGTTAGAGTTTTGGTTGATACACAAAATGTCTGTTGAAATTGCCGATCACCCAGCTGCATGTGACATTTTGTTTTATATCAGATCAAAGTACCAATGAAGAAGCGGAATACCAAATCGAAAACACAGCCATGTAGATTGTAGGTATCCAGTAGCCAATCAACAGCCGAAATACAAAAACGAAAATATCATATTTACGATCATTTACACAGATATTTCAACCATTCAAAAACGTGTTGTTTGAAATAAGTGGAATAATCGCGATGACACAAGTTGTCTCTAGCGTGATGAGTGAAATAGTCGCTTGTAATACAACAAGTGTATTGATTATCGAAACACAAATTCCTTCGATTTTGAGAAACAAATTGTGTTGCTTGGAAACCACACGAGCGCATAGCGCGAGTGTGGTTGCCTGAAAGCAACACAATTTGTTTCGAAAAAGAGAAGGAATTTTCGATAATCATCAATTACACGTGTTGTATTTGTCAAGATTATTTCATGATTGAAAAATAAACCATTTCCACTACCTATTTATTGTTAATATTTATATCGAATGTACAGTTATTGCAATTATTTATTTTGACATAGTGACATTCATCATTACTGCTACTAGATGCAACCGTCGTGGATATATCCATATTATCTTCTTTTCTGAGGTTTGATATTATATCAGCATGATGTTCTTTGCTCAGTTGTAAATATGGTTTCAATGACATTGAACTACTGTACCCAGTAACTTTTATTATCTGTTGTTCCCCAATTCCAGAACTTGCCAATTGACTCACAGCTGTATAGATCTGTTTGAATGGTTTGATATTTTCACGTTTTTTGTATCTAAACCGATCTTCCCAGGTAGCACATCATATTGGCTGGAACCCGATTGCATATTGGGCCGATATAGATATATCGTACATGTGAAACATAATATAGGTCCAATATGAGAGTATATTGGACATACAATATTAAAATGATAATATTGGTGAAAAAAAAAAATAATATTGTTCCCGACATTAATAACCAATATCGCAATTTGAACATTCTCCCCATGTCGATTCATATTCAAATATGAATATCAATAACGGCAATTCAATATATATCTTATATCGGTCATAGAAGAGAAAAACAATATTGTATTTTCAAGTTCAATTGCATATCGGTTGAATAGTTTTCCAGGAATATTCAGAAAGTAATATCATCTCATATTGGCTGATATCTGATTCACTATATCATGTGAGCAATATTGTTCACATATTGTTTTGAGAATACATATCGATATCGAAATTTCGATATTAATTCCATAGCATGCACTCTCCAACCGATGTCGATAGATGGCGCTATAAATGATTCGTAACGTACTCCCATTGCCGATCGGACGAGAGAATATAAATATTGGCTCTAGACGATTGTAAAGCATTATTACCTGGAGTAGGAAATAATCGTGATCAATAAGGCGGCTTCCCCAAGGCAAGGCCCTCCCATTGCACTTCGGCTGGGCTGACCTTCGTGATTCTTCCTAATGCGAATAACACGCAAAAATTGATATGGAAATATTCCACCAATATTTCGAAGACAACATAGCTACATAATGATTTTCAATAATGTACCAATATTTCCAACCAATATTGCACCAGTATATTACTATAATATTCCAGCAATATTGGTATGACAATATTCTACCAATATTTTTGAGACAACATAGCTTCATGATGTTTTCCAATGATTCACCGATATTTCCATATAATATTGCATCAATATTGCCGAATGTTCACCATTAGTTTCTCGCCAATATTGATATTACATTTTGTGACCAATATAACTCCACGAATATTCGACCAATATTGATATGAGAATATTCTATCCACATTTGGGAACTGATATTGTACCAATATCGCCGAATGTTCACATTTTGTTTCTCGCCAATATTACTTTCACAATATTTTGCCGATATTTTCGTAATATTACACCGATATTATCCCAATATATGTGTGCTACTTGGGTTTTCAGCTGACAATTTGGTCTATTTACTCATTTCATTTATACCCATTGGCATATTTTTAAACCAAGGACTTTCATGATCTTTATTCCAATTACCATTAACTGTCAAAAATAGTCGATCAGTTTTAATGTTCTTTCCCCTTTTTGACATCAATTTCTTGAATAAACGAACTGGACAATTTTCTTGATTTTCTTTATTTGACACAAGCCATTTACTTTCTGCAATATTTTTTGATCCACCTTGTGCGGTTTTCGCGAATATAGGGTTATATTCCAGTCTTCCAGTTGGTGTTCCCTTGTTATTTATTTCTTCCTCGAAATAATGAATCAAACATCGGCATGCTTCACCGCCCCGCCAAGCTAATTCCACTGCTATAATATGATACAGTTTCCTTTGTAATCCATTTGGAGTATTTTCATCCCAACTTTGGATAATTTGTGTCAATTCTTCCGATGTAAATGAAACACATGACTTTTTTCGTTTTTCCGGAATATTTTGTAGTTGTTTTCTTTTAGTATTTTTGGCATTTCTCTTTGAATGGATCAAATTTTCGATTGTATTCATGATAGTATTCTTCTTGGAGTAATTTAGCTGTATTATTCCGAATAGTTTTCACTACCATGTCCTTATACTCACTGCCATCGGTTTTCCGCATATTAAATGCCCATTCTGTGAGAATATTGGCAAGTCTTTCATCAGATGTATTTTCGTTTAGCTGATGATTTCGCTGTTCACAAAATTCTGTGAATTGTTTCCAAACATACTTTTTGGAACGCACGGTATTTTGAGGCGTTAAGTCTTTGACTTCATTTCTTATTTCTTCTACACTATATTTACCGAAACGATTTTCACTGTCCATTTTCAAGCTAGTAACGATATTTACCAACATATAAACAGTTTTGTTTTCTTTGATCCCTTCACAACTGGCCACAGCCTTCTCAATTGAGTTTCCCGCAATCGTGATCCCGCATTCACTCTTCCTCTTCACTCGCGATCGAAGGTACTAGGGATGTTATGCAACTAACAATACATTAAAGCGTTGAATGGATAAAGCAGCGTACATCATAGCGTTGATTGATATATTACGCTTACGCTGGGTAAGCGTAATATATCAATCAACGATCATAGGGAGTGAGAAGAGAGAGATGTCACGTCAGTCGTGGTTGAAAAATTATTCCTATTTTAGGTTATATCATGCGAATCATGCTCAATCAATAATTATTTGGAATTGTCTTATAATAATTGTGAGGACAATTCAAATTGTGATAGTGCCTATTGGGTTTTGAATAGAAGTGTAGTGTTTTTATTCCCTGAACACGAATATATTATGACAGCATTTATATCCTGCTGTCATGCTACAAAAACTCAAACAGTAAGTAGCCAATCAGGTGCCGAAATACAAAATCGATAACATAGTGTTTTCGATTATCAATACAGCTGTTACAACCAATCAAATGCGTGAATTTTCAGATGAATGAAATAATCAGTGGACTATCATCAATTTTGTGCGAATAATGCATTTTCAATTCACCTATACATGTTCTAGGTCCCAGTCCGAATGGCATGAAGGCAAACGGAGGCCATTGTTTATTTCCATCACTGAACCTTTCAGGATCAAACTTCTTAGGGTCAGGAAAATATTCTGGATCTCTGTGAATAGCATATGCAGGAATGAAGACTCTGGTTCCTTCTTGAATGACCAAATCTGAGTTTGGTGCATTATATGCTTTGTTACAAATTCGGGGCAATACGGTACCAGGCGGATGCTTCCGAAGTGTTTCTGGAAATCAAAATTGATAATATTACATAAAAATGATGAAACATTTGAACAGGGCGTTGTGAAATTCGACAGAAAACATTTCACAGGTTAGATTAAACCTCCTCTGAGTCACATAATCACTGATAGAAGATGAAAAATAAAACGAAATTAATGAACTCATGATTTTCAATGCTGAGATACGTCCAGTTTTCGATTACTATCCTCATGTATGGTGTCCAGTGCCCAAATATACGCTGATGCTCTTGGTATGCATCCAGAGGAGACCCATCTGCGTGGTGAGTGATGCCACACTCACTATAACTTAATGACCCAATTAAAACACCGTAGAAAAGTCAGCGAGCTACTACTTTTTATAGATACTTCCACGATGAATGTTCCTCATAAATCTCTGCAATAATTCCATAACTAGCAATATCAGTCAGACGTACTCGACGGACTCAGTCAGCACATCCCTTCGTCGTCAACCTTGAATTCTTTGCCAATGGAATCATTCCCCTTCCAGAAGTTCAGAAAGGATTTCAACTGTTTCAACACCTACCTCCTACATTTATACAGGGCATTGTAAAATTCGACAGAAAATACTCCAAAGGTGAGTCTATCTCCTCTCAGACACAAATCACTGATAGAAGATAAAAAATAAAACGAATAAAAGGACTTATTTTCTTGTATTCATCTCATTTTAAATATGAAATATGAATATTTCTTTTTATCGAAGGAAACAATATCTTCAAAATAACTTTGAATCTTTGAGTTCGAAATAAGTCCACTGAACTAAAATAACTCAACTCATCAAACCCTGAAATGATATTTTTCTCTCTCAAGAAATTGCAAATTCATTATTCAAATCTCTAAAGTTTGATTTGTTGGCAGCTTTCTTCAATTAGCTTCAATTATCAGTTTCAATTAACAATATTGGTAACTGCTTCAAATATTGTCATATTTGGGTTCCTATATGCTAGTTACGCCACTGGACTCAGTTCATGTATAAAAAATTAAAATAGATAATTTGAACATATAGAAATACATTAGTGATACCAATTCTTTAATTACGTTCATCCAATTTATAATATCTAACATTATTTTGAGTATAAATCATTCTTCAATTCCTCAAAAGATATCACCTTGCGGTATCTACCATTTTTCTTCTTGTTTGCTGTTTTCATTAAAACTCAGACTATTTGGTGACTCTGGCCACACCGTGATGATGCTCAGAGTTCACAAAAAGTACAAAAAAACTAATTACCTCGATTTCGTCCGACATCTCCATTTTTAAAACCTATCATCTAGTCAAATCTAACAAAGACTGGGAATATCCGAAGATAATCCTCAGAATACCTGATTTTTCAGTGGTGTGTTGTGTATTGTGTTCTCTGTTATATGTAGTTAGAATTCATTTCAGAAAATTGATTTCATATTTTTATAAAATTGAACCTTCTTTACAGAAATAGAGAATTTGATGGATACGTAAGTCGAATCTTACATTGGATTATTCAAGATAGATTACGACACGGGTGTTCCCGTGATTGTCATGTCATGAAATATCGCAAATTTCAATAATTATCCTGAAAATGTACAGAGCTCTGAGGAAAACACGGTGAACCAGTTATGTTCAATACTTTGGAATAGTGAAATAACATGTTTCACTGAATAAGTCCCATTGACTCAAGTTATTCCAAGTGATACGCAACATGTTATTCTCCAACATTATTTTACTTCATCTATTGGATCGCACGAAAGGAAATTCCTATAATATTCGTGGAACATCGTGCGTACTCAGGGAGAATAGGGCAGGAAGTAGGTGTTGGAATTTTTTCTGACTTCAAGAGGTGATGAGTTTTTGCAATACGTGAAATGACTAGGCATTTCAGGATATGACATATTTCATCTAATTTATTTTTTTCATGTTATAAGTTCGATCAGAATATAATTCGAACAATTGATATTTCGATCAAATGATTTCGATCAATTGATTTTCGATCATTTAATTTTTCGATCATAAGACTATTCGATCAATTGATTCTCGATCAAAAGATGTTCGATCAAATGATTTCAATCAAATAGTTTTCGATCGCATATTTCTGGTTACCCTGCATAATATTGGTTAATTCAATTCATCAATTATTGATGGATGGATCATTGAATGCATCAAATATCAAATTTGTCTGATGCACCAATACATGCGGTGTATGTAACCTTGAACAAAATGGATGGAACAAAGTCGAAATCTCATATACATATACCGAAAGTTTTGGAAATAAATCACAGAAACTCCAATATTGTATTTTGGAGGCTCCTTTCGACTCACCTTGTATAACTTTCTCCAAATAATCCATCTCCATAACAGCTTCGTACGTTAAATTGTTATTATGCTTTTTCAGAATATTATTAATGTTCTGTCTCAATCTATCCTGAATATCTTCATTCAGAGCAAGTTCTAATAAAGCGAAAGTCATCGTAGAAGCCGAAGTTTCGAAACCAGCAATGAAAAATACATAACACTGTGCTGCCATTTCATCAAATGTCATTATAGACTGAGTAGTTTCTTTGTTGGTGAGAATACCGTCTTCTCTAATTTTGCCAAAATTTTTGAGTTGGATGAGCAAATGCAGAAAATCTTTTCTGAATATATTGTTCTGCTCACGATAGCTAGTGGTGTCTTTTACCAAGTTATAAAAGAAATCTTCGACATCTTTATCCATAATCTTGAATCCAGCTTTAGTGAATAACCATTTTGGTATGAAATTCGCTACAATCCTGGCGAATTTTGTACTTGGAGTTCCTTCAAATATCATTTTTCCATATTGCCTGAATTCGGAATCTGGATTCTTCAGACTATTACAATTAACACCAAATGCTACAGAACCAATGGTATCGGTTGTCAATCTAGCTAAGACGTCTTTTATATCAATGGGATTTCGTGAAGTGGCTTGGTCATCGAGGATTATTTTCAGTTCTTTGGTGCAGTCGACCATGGTATGGAACATCATCTTTATTTGCCCTAAAAGAGATCCAAAATATTGTCATAGGGCGTGTGTCAACCCATCGTCTATATGAGAGATATTCACTAATAGATCCTGAAGGAGGTTCATAAGGATGTCCAATGGACTTGCGTAAAGGACAGTGACGGGGATATATAGCTCACGCGCAGTCGATCGTCGGCGAGGTGTAAGTTAACTTCCTCGTTGGGACAATTTTTCTTGCGTACCGACTGAAAAATCCGTAGGACGTTATTCCTAGGACATTGACAATTATCATCCGCTTGTGAAAACAACATTCATACAGGATGTCTATCTGAAGTCCTGATGCCAATGTATATACTACTGATTGATGTCTCTTAGGACAATTCCGAATTGTATCCAGGACATTTTGAGGACGTCCTTGAGACGTCCATGAGACGTTGTGCTCATGACATCTTATGGAATGATGAGCCCCAAAAAATTTTCTTGTACCTACTCATTACTTAGATGAACATATGGATTATCTATAGGGGTTTCTTCCGAAGTCATAACAGTTCATGTACCAATTTGAACATCCGACGGACATATTTCAAGAAATGTACCGTCTGGGATATTTCATGGTAGTTTCAGACATTATATAAGAACTGAAGTCATTCCAGAAGGTATACTAATTGGGACATCCTGAAGAAACCTTGAAAAATATATCTCATTAGGAACATGCTAAGGACGTACTTGCATGAAGCGTCTACTATATCACGTATGCTATTTCTAGGACATTTGAAATGATGTAACAGTTCGAACATTCCCTGGACGTTCTTGCTCGGACATTTCATGAGACGTACGAGATGGGACGTCCCAAGGACAACTATTTCAGATCCGTGACATTTAGACTTGAATTGTATCAAAAAAGGACGTTCCTAGAAGGTTGCGTGCCATTAGGGCATACTCACTACAACCTTCATGTCAAGTAATCGAATTTTCCGTGGAAAACCTATTTTGAGTAGCAACACTCAAATGAATATAAATCATCAACTACACGAGAAACAGGAAATCGATAAAGCATATACATCTACAAGCTTCTATTGAATGGATTCGAACCGTTTCTGTTCATTTCTCAGAAGCGTCAATCGACAACATATTCGCGTGAAAAGTCGATAACAATATCAATACCTAAATAGCACATATAATATGCGACTTCTAACATCAAATCATCCTCCGCCGCGATGCTGACAGAAAAGAACTTGAACCTTTCGAAATTGTTTGGTATATCCATAAAATATCCTTCAGTTATATCCATAAGACACACTTCAATATATTCAATTATTCATGGAATATTCTTCAGGGATATCCATGAGATATCCTTCATCGACGTCCGAAAGATATCTTTCGATGATATACATTGGAGATAATAAGATGAAGAGTGATGGCGATCTGGAAGGATACTAATCGATGATTTTATGATAATAATCTTTATCAAGAATGAAGTTGTCGTCGAGATCAAGAATAGGAGTCAACAGTCTTTGTGAATCCTGAAGAGTCTTCAGCCAATCGGTGCATTTCCATCCTTCCTTTTTTATATAATTGATTGCGGATCAACGTTTTATTTCTTGGTTTATTTTTATCCATTTTTTTATTATGCACCACGCACCTACACATGCATATGAGGATTATATAAATAGGAAAAATAGTATAATCGTTATTTTGAAATCACTCAACCCTTTCATGAACGCAATGGACAGAAATATCCGCAAAATCAACAATAGGAAACTATTACAAAAATAGAGGTTACAAGACAACACCCAACAACACGGAAAGCTTCTAGCACTTTTGGCTTTTGGCAAATAAACCTCCAAAAACGTCATTGGATCACTGTCGGGGTCAAATATGAATGTCTTTACAGTATGTTTTTGAATGATCACAACAAAAAAAAAAGAAAGTTGATGGAGTATGGGATTTGAACACACGGATTATTCGTTGCATTGCATCCTCATGGCACGGTGGCAGATTTCTGCGGGTATCGACTCAGAATTTGACACTATCGTCATCAATCTTGCAGGTTGAACATATTTGTAATCGCTGTGGATATCTTATGATCAACCCCAAGATAACCTCAAAAATATCAATGTCGAATCCTACGATGGATATCTCAAAAATGTCCATTTCAAATCCAGTAGGAGAACAAAGGATGTGATCTATTACCTAAAACCTTCAATCCAGGTTTAGACACAAAAGAAAGTCATGAATTGACACTATCAGAATCAATCGTGCAATTTGAACACATTTATAATTGCTGTTGCTCTCATGGATATCCTTGAGATATCTACTGGAGGATATCAATGTCAAATCTTGCGATGAATATCTTATGAATGTCTATTTCAAATCCAGTAGGAGAACAAAGAATCAGATATATCTTTGGAAAGCTTCAATCTAATATCAGACACAAAAGAAACTCATGAATTGACACTATCAAAATCATTCATACAAATTGAACACATTCATAATTGCTGTGGATATCTTATGGATATCCTTAGGATATCTACTGAAGGATATCCGTTTCAAATCCTGCGATGAGTATCTCATGAATATTCATTTCAAAGCGAGGGATATCCCGACCGGAATTATACATGAAGAGGATATCCATTGGATATCCTGTGTTATCTGGCGAATGTTTCATTTCTTTATTTCCGAAACGAGACAGTATAACCTCTATATAATTGCTTCATCGGTGCATTCAATGAAAAAAATTCTTCCATTTATCACTTCCATCTCCATCCATTCAACTAACCTGATGTGAAAGTGGGAGACAATTTAGCTCTGAGGTTTTTCCACCTGTCATTCTCCAAATTGAAAAGATGCGCTCTCAATGGATCTGCATCCTCATTGAAATACGTCCCATGGTTCTTGAAGTGGTCGGCATCATTCTGAAGGATATTCTTGATCGACTCCAAATCGATTGGGATATACACCGGTGTCAAGAATGCGAATATTCCGAAATGTCTTTTACCTTGTGCCTTATACTTATCGTAGCACTCTTTAAGTAGATAACCAAAGAATGTATCTTCTTTATTGTTCTTCTTGAAGTTTCCGTAAAATAGATCTGGCTCAGGATTATCGATACCTCTTCGACTCCAATATGTGTATCGCCATTTTGAAAACAGATAGAGTAGCAAAGGTATTGCTGCAATGATATACACCACAAACATAATTTTCACAATCAGAACATTGATGTGTATTTGAAATTAGGCTTATCCTCATTCGGTTCTACGCGAATACCTACTACTCACTTATAAATATATCAGTCTGTTCAAATTCAGACGCATCATGTATTGTTAACTATTATCTTATTTATTCTGGGTTTCATGTCCTACTTTAGAAGCATATCATCAGAACACAATTCAAATCATCTTAGTAAGATTAAAGATCGTTCGAATAATAAATAAACTAGTTGTTGATTACCATTGTTATTCGTTAAGGAATTCAAAAGGGATAACTAGACGAATGAATCATTTCAAATTGAATTGTCTTTATCTCAAATGGTTTACGAAGTCGAAAGGGACATATTCGACTTCCTTTCAAGCGGTATCTACGGGGTCGTTCCATAGTAGTGACCGGGAACACACAAATCACCAGAATGTAAAATCGCAGATCCGTAATCCATCAGAATATACATTTTCAAACCAGTAACTTAACAGAACAATATTTTATAGGAATCGTATTTATCTCTACTATAGATGCACAAAACCGCAATTCCTCAAACCGTATTTTGTATACTATACATGAGCATACCAGACAATAACAGATTGCAAATGCGCAGATGTGTATTTTTCTATAATAGCAATATCGCAGATCCGCAAATATACAGAATCGAAAACTAACAAACCAACATCACAGCGGAATGATATATCGTCAGAATCATAACAACACAGACCGTAATTCGTCAGAATCGCAGAATGACAGACCGCACATTAGCAGACCGTACTTTGTCAGAATCGAAATACAACAGACCGTATATCGACAGAATAGTAAAATGTCAGAACCGTACATTGACAGAATAGCAAAAAATCAGAACAGCATATTCACAGAATCTCAAAATATCAGAACTGTAAATTGAAAGAATCGTAAAATGCTAAAACCGTACATCGACAGACTCGTAATACAACAGACCGTATTCCATCAGAATCAAATTATATCAGAACGTACAATGACAGAATGTACTTCATCAGACTGTAATGTCATATACTGTATTGTGATAGAATCGTAAACTATCAGAACCGTAATTCAGCAGAATAGTAAAATGTTAGATCCGTAAAATAACAGAATCGTAAAAATTCAGAACCGTACATCGACAGAATCGTGAAATATAGGAACTGTACGTCAGCAGAACCGTAAAAAATCAAAACCGTACATTGGCAGAATCGGAATTCATCAGAATGTAATGCAGCAGAACCGTAAATTGACAGACTGCAGAGAGGCCTACCAGCCACGCGCAGAGCGAACGCCGGTCACAGTGTTGCCTGCTCTCACGTCATGTGGGGATTCTACGTACACTTTCAGTTCGACCTGCTTTTATGTTCCTATTGCTCTTGTACACTCGAGAATGAGATCGTTCATATGATATGAAGTGATGAATGACCACATTTCAATATGAAATATATGAACGTCACCCAACTTTTTTGCTATATGCAGAAGAAAGTGTTTATTTGAAGTATTTTCTTAAAAACTACAATTTCTTGAAGTCAGTTGGGAGAAGGGTACGAGAAATAGGTGTTTGGCATGTTACAAGTGTTTCGGATCACACGTTAAAAGGTAAGGCCCCCGTCATTCCTTGCTCGCACAAGACTTTCGAAGACTTCTGAGGGTTGCTCGTAAGGGAGCAACCAAATGACGGATAAAACAATTTTACAATTTTTTTTACAACAAACTTTGGAGTTTTCAAAGTTTGATTATAGATACAAGATATTGGATGTTCTTTATATGAATCTATGTCATACCCAAATTCATTCATTTTGTATTTTGTACCCATATTTCTAGAAAAAGGAAGAAGGTGATACGAAAATAGATTGAAATCGAAGTTCAGCTACGGAATTTAGTTTCGAGAATTCTTCATTAACGATAATTAGTGCGGTGCTGTAGATAGGGATTGATGAAAAAATGCTTATACATACATACATACACATGGAAGCCATTGAAACGTTCTTGTAAAACTCACTATGGAAGCTATTAAATAAACGTTCTTGTCTATCTGATTCTGATTCTGATCTATATCAGGTGACCTTGGACCATAGGCGCCACCAGATAAAAATAGGATATAGGGCGGACAAAATTCGAAGATGAAATCGGGTAACCTACGAATGAAAACTGAGTGTGAATACTCAAAGCTAATATTAATCTGTGTAATTCTTGAAATGTCATCTCCAACCATTCAGAACTTGAAGACTAATTTTCCATGATATTGACCATATCCACTCGTCAAAACTGAACCCATCACCAGTTCCTAAGCAGTTTTTTGAACAGCCTCTGTGAATCTGAGATAGAACAATCAATAAAACAATAATTGATCTTCGCATTGTCGAGTTTAGACGAAAATGTAGTTTACCTAACAAATGCCGAAAGTCATACTTTTCCGCACCTGTTTATTTAGATATAAGGAAATACATAGAGAATTCGCATTCGGTATGTGATGAAATCATCAATTCCTTCTCAGTATATTCAACAGAAAACAACTACTTTCCTGGTTGCGATTTTACTAAATATACTGTACGCTAGCACAAACCACGCCGACCGTAATATCTCATCTTCGAAGTACTTAGGCAAAACTCAGAAACTATTTATCCATAACGAACTAACCTATCCCTGATTGCAATATTTTTGTGGAAGGAAAACCGAATGGAGTGTAGAAACACATTGATTAATAATATATTTCAAAAGTTGAGTTCTTCAACAAAATTGAATAAAATGAGACTGTTTATCCTAAACGCACTAACCTATTCGACTTCAAATATTTTATGAAAAAGGAAAACCAGAATGAAGTGAAAAAACAAAAAAGTTGCAAAAAAAAGTTCAAGTTCACAGCGATTCGAACCATGGACCTTCAGACTGAAAGTCGACAGCGCCACACAGCGCTAACCAGTAGACCATTTGGGTGTATGAATTTACTGCGTACAGAAAATACATGTTCAACACAGAACACAGAAGTGCATTTGCAAAACAGAGGATGTATTTTGTTGTACTGAATGTAAATGTAACGCTCATTGTAAGAATATTGAAAAGTCCGATGACGAAGACCATCAATAAATGTACATTGTTTACTTTTCTGTAAGATGTTTCTTGTGAAAACCGCCTTATTTGCATTTGTGACAATCAACTATACATTCGAAGAAATCTAGTTAAATATAAATTGCTCACCATATCTTCCATTTCGACAAAATGAGCATATTTTAAGGAAGAATACGGTCTAAGCGCGCGACGAGTGAAAGTTTCATCGATCGTTACGCTTAGAATGGTTTATTGAATTTACATTTTTGCTCCGACGAAACGCCTCGCCTGTGGTGCGCTGTCCTAAAAATTTAATTGCAGAACAAAAACTGTTAGGAATATCCATACCATTGATCGAGATGAAATGTTCCTCATAAAATTACGCAGTTTTTGATGGGAAAATATGATGTAGTTCATTTGGAAAATAATCGAGTTCTTGCTTGTTGAAGATTAATGAAATATTGAAAAATTATATAGGATAGTTTTTGAAAGTGGTGAAATTTTTAGATATTCGGATGATAAAATATGAATTGTCAATACACCATTCGATTGGTTATACTTCAGGCTACAAAATGAGCCTTCATTTGTTTTTTTAGCTTCATCCCCATTATTGTTAGACTGCTATTTTTCAGACATATTGAAAAACGCGATCTTCGTACATTTTTGCCTGTAGAAAATCTCTCGACCATGGGGCGATGTCGTAATTTCTCATTATATATGTGGATGATGATGACAAAAAATGTCCTTGATGTTCAATTAAGTTATACCCCATGATTGGGTTATTGAACGATAGACCGCACCGTCTGCCGTACTAAAACATGTTCCATTTTTATGTTGAATACGGAAGCAAATTCGCTACGGAAACGTGAATGTGAAAATGTACCTAATATTTTTATGGTATTCTTCCTTTTTCAAACATTCTTCAAAACAAGGTGTCACTCGTTTTTTCAACAGAATTGAACAAGGATTTCGAGAAATTGGATGAAACCAAAATTGTAGTACTTTTGATCCCGATGCGAAAAGTTGGTAGCTCGACCGGAGTAGGCCGGCTATAGATTTCGAAAATAAAAAAAAGATCACATTCAGTATTGAGTGATATAATAAATAAGGAGAGTGCCGTAGGCGATTTTTTTCCTTATTCAAGGTCAAATGAGAATTAGATTTTCTCCTACAAAACATATTCATTGATTTCAGGAACTGAACAGGTACAAATCTGGTACACCTACCTTCATTCATACACGTATTGAAAGAACCAGAGAATATCGAATGTCATCGGTCTACGAATGATGAAACAAATTCCTTTCCTTCCTGATCTTCTTTCAGTTTGTTCGTATTCCTTATTAGCCTAATATCAGTCCCGTGGTATATATACTATTTTTTCCACCACTAGCTATAAAACCTACCATTATTCACTCCTTCCCGAGGCGTGAAGTGTACTTTTACTACCAAGGTAGTTTTCGTCATTTTATTACCACTAGTCAATAAAGACATAGCCACCCACCTCTGATATAATAACCCGAACTCACTGTTCTGATGGCATTTGAATCTGTTATAGGTATTTATATTATACATATTGTATAGATAAATTCAAAGATGCTCAAAAATCACTCAAACATTGTATTTCAATAGTGGACTATTGATTTTTCATATGAAAAAGTCTAATTGGAGGAATATTACTTCTGATATTTTTTTGATGAGGACAGAAACGATATACTGACACTAATTACCTAACAGAACACAAAACGTACCTAGGCGTACCGAATAGCAACAAATAAATAGTAATAAGAATAAATTCATGATGTAAAAGAGGTACCTGATTGAATATTCACCGAAACAGTTGAATTTCGAAATTATACAGTAACTTGATTGTTGCCCAGTTTTCCACACAATTGCCACAATTGACACAATTGACACACCTAACCTGAAGACGCATCAAAAATCATTGAAGGATATCTTTGTAATTCCTAAAAAACTGCCTCTGTTGTTACACCATTTTGCACGAATTTCTTCAAGATTGTTGTGCTTCCTAGTGTATTAAGACGTACACTCGTATT